GTGCCGGGGGTTGTCCCCAGCTGGGGAACGCGGGGCGGGGGTGACAGCCCCTCGGCAGGGCAGGAGCTCGGCGCTGAGCCCTCGGGAGCCGCTCGAAACGGTGAACTCCTGTCACTACTAGAATATACTCAATTTTTCACTTTCTAATGACGTTTAATTAAACACTTCCTTGGGAAATGTTAAAATCCTGTGGATGAATATTGACTGAAGCAATTTTTCAGCACCAAATGCATCATCTACTGGGCATTTTCAGTACGTTCCTCTCCCCTTTTTAATGCACCTGTGGACATTACTTCATAACACAGACATCCCCAAAGCAGCTAAAATAACGGCACTGATTTCTATGCGGTCGTCGTGTTCGTTGGACTCCCACAGACAGCTGATGGATGCCATACAATTTTCAAACACGGCAACAAGTTGTTTGCTTGGGTGACAAATGAGATGGGATCCCATAAGCTAGGTGTGAGAGTTCTCACCCATCTCTTCCAGGAGATGTTCATTTAAAAAACATCTAAGACACTGTGTCAATGAGATTTGGAAAAACGGTCATAGAATCACAAGATGGTTTAGGTTGGAAGCGACCTTGAAAATCATCGAGTTCCACCCCCTGCCCTGGGCAGGGACACCTCCCACCAGCCCAGGTTGCTCCAAGCCCCATGCAGGTAGGTCCCCTACCTAACTCCCCTTCTGCAGTTAACCTGCTCCACCACCTTCCTGGCAGTCCTGGTTCCCGTTTACGTGTCTCGGTACAGGTGCACGTCAGCCCTTTGCCATGGGAACGACCTGTGCACGGGGCTGTGCTGGGTTGCCATGGAAATGGGTATCATCACCATCGCCGCTGTCCTGGGCACGGCCAGATCTGGCTCTTTGATTTCCGCAGAGGGGACATCACAAAACACAGGTTATAAACACATGGCTTTACGGATGAAAAGCAAACGAAACTCAGTAATGATCATGGCTGAGTACTGCCGACGTGGGTTCAGAAGGTCTAATAATTGCCCGGGAGTTTGGGGGAGCTGAGCGCATTGCCAAAGTCACGTAGGAGAAAATTGCAAAGCAAGCTGCCCAGTCTGGGTGCCATTCCGGTTTCGGAAGGCAGGCGTTTACCGAGCCCCGCAGCAAGGCTGTGCCCGTGGCAGGTGGTGCGCTCTGAAGGTGTGCCATGTCCGTCCCCTTGCAGATACTCCACTGCAATGGTCTGCACACAGTTACGCACTGCACACGGTTACGAATGTTCCTGTGGATGAAATTTGTTGTGGCAGAGGTTTTTACACACACACATAATACGTATTTCACTATTTTATGTGTTGGTCTGCAGAACAATAATGCCCCGCTTTGCCTCCTTCACTTCACAGGTGTGTTTTAAGCGCTTCACTTTTGTAGCTGCTGATGACCCAAATGTGCTGTTATCTGAAAACCATGCGCACACATGCCTGATTTTTCCTATAAGATGAGTTTTTGTAGCAGTGTAATTTCCGTGGTCTTACTCCCGATTTATGCTAGTCTGATTTTTGAATCAGATGAAATAAAGTCAGGCTCCATGAACTGGCACTCAAGAATTCTCATACATATATATATAAAAGGTATTCCAGGAACCACATAATGGAGAAGGTCAGAAGAAATGATCATGATGGTCTCTGCTGGCCTTACAGGTTATGAATCTCTAAATTTATATATTTGAATGGATATGATTAGTCTGACACCTGCCAAAAGTACTAGAATTTACAGAATCATTTCATTGCCAATGCAGTGCCATTTTCACCTTAAGGAATCCATTTCTTCTGCTTTATCTGCAAGCTGTGAAAAATTAATGTATCAATCTGTTATGGTTCTTTTTCAATTTTCTAGTCTTTCTCTTCCTTCACGGACTCTGCAGATCTTGTTTCAGGTTCATACGCTTTTTGACATGAGCTTATTGTTGGCAATTAACTTATTCTCCCCAGGAATGGACACAAAGCTTTCATTACTACAGCAACATGTTTTTTTTCATTTTGGTAGACTGGTGAAAAGCAAAGGGCAGTGAGTTTATAGCCGAGCACCATCCACACAGGCTGCTACTGACTGAAAAGCCACTTAAACTGTTTCCACGGTAAAAGCCCCGTATCAAAAAAACTGGAAAACCTGTGCTTTCACCTGAATCCCTCTCCATTATGCCAAAAAACCCGTACAACTCAGAAGTTCGAGAGCACGAACCTTCTTAGGCAGCGAGGGGCTGAGCTCGGGGCCGCGGGATGCTCCATCTCACGGGCAGCCTTTAGCAGAGCCGTGCTGCTTTAGGGTCTCTGCTTCGCGGTGGTTCTGTGCCGGGGACCTGGGGAGATGGGAGCGGGGTGGCAAGGAGGGAGCTGGGCCCCGTCTCACCCCACAGAGGGACCGTCCTTGTTCAGAAGCAGCAAAGGCCATTCCAGCCGGAGCTCTGCCCGGCAGAGCCGTGGGTGTCCCCCCCAGCCGTGGCGGCTGAAGGAGCGTGGTTATTTGCGAGCGCTTTCCCCGCGGGGCGCAGTCCCGGGGGCTGTCCCGCAGCAGCTCGCTCTCTCACACCCCTCCGGCTGGACCCGACTGCCAGGAAAATTTGGTCAGGCAAAACGCTGCCGCCTGCTTGGTGGGAGCCCTCTCGAGCACGATGTGTCCCAGGGAGCGGACTTAAACCCAGGGACTCCTGCAGAGTGAGGACAGTTACCCTTCTCTGTAGGAATGCCTCCCACTGTTTTATTGGCGCTTTGGGCTTTGGTGTAGCAGTACTAAACTGGTTTATTTTGCTGAACTACCAAGTTGCAACTTATTATTATACGCAGAACACCGAAGCAGAGAACATATACGCTCCTCTCAACCCCCTGAAATATTCACTTAAATTAAAATGCCAGTAAGTAATAACCTGCATTTCTGTAAGCTTATTGCTCTGTTCTGTTAGCAGAGAGAAATGTATGGAAAAGCTTAGCAGGAGGTGGAGTAGCCTGACACGAAGCAAATCTCCAAAAGCTACTTATTTTCATATGTACTGTTGAGACAAAGGAAATATTTAAGTGGAGTTTTACATAGTTCCCAGGTGGTTGTGCACAACTTAATAATGTAAAAAGTGCTTGTTCCCACGTGGTGCTCCAGCTTCAGCGCTCCTTACAGAGCCATTGTTCTTCTCCGTGCTCTGACAGACAAACGGCTCGTCTGCAGCTGCCCTTAGTAGATTGCTCTTAAAACAAAATGCTCCACCAAGATCTGCCTATCGTATGTATGTGTCACTGGACACACTCTGTGATAGGAATACAAATGCACCATGGAAACCAGCCTCTGGGACACGAGCATGTAGATTGGACGAAAATCTGCAAAAGAACATACTGTACTTCAAAAAAAAAAAAAAATCAAACCCCAAACCATAGAACATTTTGAATTGATTGCTTCTAAATATTTTCAGAGATTCCTTAACATTTAAAGCAGTGGAAAGTTTCTCATCATGTCATTCCCAACTAAAGAGGAGAAGAGCCTGAATACCATGAGTAAGATTGTTCAAAAACATTTAACATTGACCTAACTCTGCCCTTATGTTAAAGTTGGCAGTAATTTATTGATTTCTACATGACTAAATTTAGTCTGATGTTGAGAATTTTAGAGCAAAAAAATCCCACCATGCAGTAGTAACTCTTGAGGCGGGACCATACAAAGTTCCTGTCAAAGCAATCCTTTCAATAGCAATCTGAATGAAATATTCACTGCGCCAACCAAAATAACAGCGTTTCAGATCTAACATCTGCCATAGCCTGAACAGCCCATCAGACCCACACAAGTTAACCAAGACAAGGCTTGGCCCAGGAACGTAGCTAAGACCCAGCACTCGTCCAAAGAGCTGTACTCGTTCTTCCCTGGGCTGAACCAAATGCACAGCATCGGACCAAAGCCTGCGGCAACGCAGCAAAGGCATAGCGTCTGACAGCCTTTGGGTAAGCCGTGGGCTCAGCACCGCCGCGTGGGTGCGCGCTTTGGTGTCAAAGATTACTTTTGTGATAGCTAGCACATCAACCGGCATCGTCTTTTTGTAATAAATAGTTGTAGCTAAAAACAATACTACCTGAACATATCAGTAATTTATGTTTTGTCTTGTTTCTACTTTTAAAGTTTTGTAAGCAGTTGAGATTATGAGCTACAAATATGTCAGTATATATTTGAATCAAGACATACAAGCTTTGTCAGTAGGGAGTCACTAGGTT